CACACACACACACACACACACACACACACACACACAGAGCCACATCTTAGCTAGTGGTGGGCACCATTCTGCTAACCTGCTAATCAGCTAATAGCGGAACTAGTTTCTCATTAAGCTTCTCATTAGCTATTTTTTGTGGACCCATTAGCTTCCTCTAAATTAGTTTCTGCTAATTTTAAGTCCACTAAATATTTCACAACTGTAAACTTCTATTTTTAGGTAATTTTTACAAAATAAAATAAATTATCAAGCATGTGTGTGCATGTAGCTTCATCAGCAGCTAAACTTCAAAGAGCGTCAAAAAGAAATAAAACAAGATTTAACAACATTTATGCACCAAAATATTACTACATATAAGAAAATGGTAGAGAAAGTATTTGCTATGTTTTGCATTTATAAAAATACAAACTCAATCAAAGAAATGCTTTTATTCTGAAAAGGTTAAAATGGAAGTGTCCCCACTTAGACAGAGCTGTAACTCTGGTTTGGATTGACCAGTTTGCCACAGACRACCCCACCCACCTTCAAATTAAAGCAATAGACTCCAATTCCAGATTTGCTTCAGTCCCACTAATCATCTTAGCACTAGATTATTATCATTAGATTACTCTAAATTTTCTGTTTAGAGTTAGTAAAGCTAACTTCTTTAGAGGATTAATGGTTAGTGAAGCTAAAAGAAGCAGGAGCTCACTCATGAACAAACTAATTCACATGTCAACTCCTCCCCTCCCACCACACCCAGACATGTTTAATATTGGACTGAAAAAAGTCCTGACTTTGTAAAAACAGCTGGGTTGAGCTGAATGGGTTTGTGACACAACTCACCTTACGTCATGGCTGAGAGACTGGGTGTGTCTCCTGAGGACAGAGAAAACAGTGTGAGGACAGGCTGGGACTGAAGCAGCTCCCTGAGTGTTCACAGTAAGTTCTGACACCAAAATGTAAGAAAAAATAACATTACAAAGCTTTTGAAACAATAACCTTCTATTACAGAACATAGCATTAAATAAAAGAAAACACAAACAGAAAACCTCATTTAATATGTTGTATTTCCTTCTAACAGAAATAATAACATCAATGTGTTCAACATAACCTRGATATTTTTCTATTTAAAATGTTCAACTGGTATTTGTTTATACAAAGTAACCAGGGTTCAGGCAACCGGTAAATTTTGCTGTGTAAAATCTCCATTTTGCTGCATTTTTGCTGGCCAGTTCAGTGTTTATAAGACGACACGTTAAAACGCTGTTTCTATGCAGGAAATACCATGTAGAGCTCTGTTAAATTGTTAGCGGTGCTCAGCCATAGCAACAAGACATGTTTAGTCAAAATTACACACAAAATGTCAAGTTAATTATAAGTGGCCCTTTGAGAGCCACCATAACACCCGTGGTCCTCGGTGAGTTTGACAATTGAAAATCTTTTACTAAGAGCTCTTCTTGATCAAAGACAAACAGAAGCTGCTAGGATGATGTAATTAAAAATACTTCATTTACACTTTTAGCATTTAGCTGGGAATTGGGTGAAAACATCCTCYTGCATATTCATGATAGCTGACAGTGTCTAAATCCTGTAAATACTTGTAACTGCTTGCATGTCAAATACAAAAAAAATAATAATAAAAATAAAATAAAATGAACAAAATGCTTACAAATAAAAGTGAACTCCACTATCATGACTGGGTGGAGCAGGTGGCTGAGGATGCAAAGGAAAATAAATTCTATCACGAGGAAAAAAAAGCCTTGGAGGTGTTTCATCCAAACACCTTCAGCTGCTGGTTGATGGTGCAGAGGTGCAAGACTGAGCTCCCTCCTGCCAGCTGCCATCAAGCTTTATAATGAGCAATAAATGTGCGCTACTGAATGTACCCTCAGTTTGGGTCAGTGTATTTTTGTCCACTTTATTTTATTTTATATTTTAGTTTTTTGTAGTTGCTGATATCTGTGTGTTATATAGATGCTGCTGCTGTGAGCCTGTCCTTTTCAGCAAAAAGGTCATTAAAAGTGAGTTAATACCTGTAGCGCGGGTGCTCGACTGTGTCAGAGGGAGATCTTTCAGGGATGGACAAAGAGGTTGTGGAAGAGAGAGTGGTGGCAATCGATGCTGTTGTGGCCTCCTCAAATGATGGAGGAGTACATGGAAGAAGATCTGGTCGCCCTGACAGGAAAAGATCAGTTGTCGTTAGGTTTCTTTATGGTCTGTGCAATTTTTGGTCATTTGCTTTTTCATTTTAAATACAAACAAGCGAAAGCAAAAAACGGATGGTTATTCTATTTTAATTTCATTCTCCATAAACAGAAAAACAGTTTGTCTTTTTAGTTTTTGCAAAAATAATAAGGTTTAGCACTCTCATCAAGGTAACTGTCCTGTGGAACCTGCTGCTACCTTCATGTGGGATTCAAAAAATACATCTATATACACCAGACTCATTTCACACTGTTTTCTAACTTTTGTACTTTTGTTTTTTGTACTTATTTTTACTGTGTATTTGAATTTTATTTGTTTTTATGTTAAACTATGTAAGGTGACCTTGAGCGCCAAGAAAGGCACCCACAAATAAAACGTATTTTATTATTATTATTATTA